AAAAAAAGGAAAAAATTAATCTGAACCACATCACTTGAAACTATACAGCCAGTTTAAAAGGACTTGGGGAAAGATGTTACTCCTTTGCTGAGATTTTTATATTTCTGAGTTACTGGTTTTGCAGTATTTTGAAGTCTTTCAAGTGCTCAGTGAAACGCTTCCAGTTTCATTATCCAGAAAGGGATAAACAGGACTGATAAAAGTGTTCCAGATAAAAAGGGGATTCTATTGTTATATTGACAGCATTCAATAAATATTGTTATATTTTGAACACTTCAATCCCTTCAACCTGACACATGTGCCAACTGTGTGTGCTGGAACTACTGGTACCTTATTAGATCCCCCATCCACTTAGTCTTTGGGGGGCAGAAAGAATGTTAAGAGAGGCGGAAATAATTTCAAAAAACAACTTATGCAACTTCCCTGTTAGTCACAAAGAACCCATATCTGCAATATCTTGAGGCACACATGGATACAAGTTGCCACTGAGATTTTTAAAAGCACCTGAGGACGGAACATTGTTCTGGAAAACCACAGCCTGCTCATGGCAGCTACTGCAGCTCAGGGAGCTGGAGACAAACTTGCTTCTTTGTTTTAGGCAAACACTTGGTTTGGCAGTTCATGCCAAAGGAGAGGATTTAGCAGAGGACAGGGCAAAGATTTTTGAGGGCAGCAATGCAAAAAGTGATCCGAACTGCGTTCCTGGAACAGCAAATGAGCATTAATGTTCCTCCACAATCCCAAACTTTTCATGCCACCACAACCAGGATCACACCTTGGCTAAAGGTTCAGAAACCTCCCTGGCCAGCAGAGACAAACTGTGTGCCTTTGGTTCAGGTGCCCCCCCAGGCAAAGGCAGAGCCAACCCCAACTGTATAAAACAAGTTAATAAGAGCTGCCAAATCTGCCGGCAAAAGATTCTTTATACATTACTAGATAAAAGCACTGAGTCATCACCAGCACCTCAAAGAAAGGGCAAGTTCTTTCAACACAATCTGGAAACTCCTGCATTTTGTGTAAATAGCTGACCCTTATCCTGAGTCACTGGAAAAAATGCTGTGGCATGTGAATGAGTAAAATCCATACCATGCTAGTCTCATATTTCAAAAAGGAGAAGATTAATGTTTAAGCAGGTTCTTGATTTAATAGTAGTAAAAAGGGGAAAATAGTGTAGAATAAAGTCTGCTTGTTCTATCAGTTATGCAACTCTTTTAATTGGCCTTTTAACCTAAGAGTAATTATTACAGAATTAAATAAATGTGAACAGCTACAAAATAGTAAAATACAGGTCTCTACTTTGACTCAATTCTATGATAACTGAACAACTGCTTAAAACAACCACTGTGTTACAGAGCACATGGTTGTTAAGTTGGGGGATCTCTTGGATTGTACTGTTGCTGTGAGGAGGAGAAAAAAAGCTAAGAGGGGACACAAAACAGCAGAGCAGTCAGCACACCAGTCTCACTGACTGATTCCTCAAAACATGGACATTCCTCAAAATTAATGAGAGCCAAAAGTGTATCCCTAACCTTTATTTGGTTTACATTAATCAGTGCTGTGTGAAAAACTGACACTGGGATTAAAATGCAACTTGCAGGAATGGGGAGGAGGGAAGCCCTTAAATGCTGAATCTTTACAGTCTGCTGCTCATTTGACCTCAGTTTGTAAATCCCTCTCAAAACAAGATAACAGACACAATCTAAAGGTAAAATATATTAAATAAGTATCTTTGTTTTCTCACAATGTGATGGATTTCCATTAGTAACAGTTGCAAGTAGTAAGTGAATAACCTGCTTTTATTCCATACAATGCTTGGGAATTTACGAAACCCAACCAGTCCTATCAGAACAGCCCTCTGCCAGTCTTAAAGTTAAACACAAAGGCCACCCCTGGTGCCCATCCTTTATTTAAGCCCAGGCTCCACCACCAACAACAAATTTGAGCTCAGTCCTTACCTACCTCTCATTTTCAAAATCTTAGGATTTAGGGAAGAGAGAGAAGGGAGCCTCCTTGGGGAAGAGGGTTGAGGGGGCAAGATTTACACCTTCCTATTTCAGTTCTGCTTTTCACACCTCTGTGGAACTCAGGGGGAATACTGTGGAAGATGAGAGGGTACAAGGTTTCAGTTAAAACCTGTGTTGCCCTTCAATTAAAACCTGGCTTATCCAATTCCTGTGCAATAAGAACACAATAAGTTCATCAGCTGGGAGATGCCCCAGGCGGGTTTAGGAGGTGACAACTCAGGAGAACTCACCTTGAGCATTCCTCTGTACATGTTCGACACAGGAGCTACTTGATCCATGTTCCTGAGCCCAAAATCACTCATCTGAAAAAATGAGAGGGGTCACATGAAAAAAAACACTGCCATGTAGGAAGCAAGCAGACGTGAACAGATGTATCCGACTGCTCCAGTGCAGACCACGGAACAGCTCACGGAATGAGACACAGGCAAAGCTTTCCTCCTCATTGCCAACATCCCAACCACACAGGGCACAGTTCCCATCCTGCTTTCAAAGCAGCTTTTTAACTGGAAGAGCTTTCACAAAGATTCTGCTAAGTCTGAAAAGCCCACAGAATTCCTTTGCCCACCGAGTATCTATTTCCTTGGACCTTTTCCAGCTCTCACCCATTATCTTCAGCCTTCAGCTTTGTGTTATTTTTGCTTACTGTATTCCCACTCACAGGCCATGATTCACTTCGGATTTTGGCTTTCAAAGGGAAGGAAGAGGAGTGACAGTGATACACCTTCACCTACTGCATTCACCTCTCTCACCCCTTTCTGAATAATCATTGAAGCCAATACTCAGCACCAGGAACCTCCTGCCTTTACCAGGCAGAGCATCTCCAAACCAT